AAGAAAAGGTTAGCAAACAGCCTGGGTGCAACACATTTTATTTTCAGGGGCTGGACTTCCCAGCGCTTGCAACAAGAAACCTTGTAACTCAGAGGCACACGAAGACTATTTTCCATCTGATCCACCTCTGTCACGGGCCACTTACTTTCACATGCTTTGGGAATGCCTAGATGATTGTGCCTGTGTGGATCATGTGGTCTCCAAACCTCAGGGAGAGTCAACAGGGAGTCTCCACTGGCACTGTGACTCAGGGACTCTGCCCTCCTGTATTCTGAGTGCCAACAGAAGGCACAGCGATCCAGGCTTTCTCTGATCCAGCCTGTAGCAATGGACATACTTAAGCTCTGTACTGCACTGCCAAGAAAACTGCAAAAATATCTACCTCAACGGCATTAGTAAGGGTGATAATCTCCTAGCTCCTGCACCTACCTCATGAAAACTTGACACCATTTTTTCGATGTTTCCGTTTTTACTACTCTTATACTATACTGTTCATCTTTGCGTAGCTTTACGACACCTGTATACTGTAGATGCTTCACAACGCATTGACCGTGATCTCACTGTGTGACACTCAACCGTGATTCAACAAGCTATTACCAGTCAAGGCCCTTGAGAATTACTCTAAGAAAGCTGTCTTCTCAGACAATGGCCCCGCCACTCGTAATGCAGTTTATACATATATTGTGTACTGGGGCATCTCTCGGAGGAAGCAGGGTAGGGAATAGGAGAATACAGCATGTTCCTGAGGAACTAGAGCATAATGAGCAGAGAAATGAAGCTCAAGCTGCAGGATATGTTATTTTGGGCATTTGCCAATGGGTCATTCATGAAGTATTGAGTCAATCTTGTGGACATCTTGTATGCTTTCGATTCTGGATTATACATTTAATATTTAGGTATGTTTATCCTCTGGCTTTTTTGCTTACAGTGTTTAGCTCATCATTGGGGATCACTTTTATGATCAATGAAATTATATGACTGAGTGCTTTAAGAAAGGTTTAGTCTCAAATCTTCAGAGTCGCCAGATATCAGTCGTTCTTGGGTTGAAATTTCCACTTGTTGAATGTGCTGTTTGCCTTCTTTTGCATTGAGAACTGCCAGGGCTTTTTTAAAAGTCTGACTCTACTTTCCTGTGATTCAGCAACACGTGCACAGTGTGGATTTATTGGGCTGTTTCTGTTTCATACAGTTTCCAATGATTCTAGCACAGGGAATGCTGTGTAAACTAATTCAGGAGTGTGTAGGGTGAGAGCCAGTCATTATGTAAATACACTGTGGTGTTGGCATAGTGAGAGCTGTTAAAATGGGACCAGAATATTTGCATTGCAGCAAGGATAGACAGTTCTTGTGATACACATTCCAAAAGTATGATGTCATCCTTATGGTGCTTGGGTTCACAGAAGAATTATTGTTTTGTATTGTTTGCTGTTCATTTCCATTCCAAAGTTTATGACCCAGATGAATGAAAACATCAAAACCATCTTCATCAGTTGTAAGACGGCATTCTGATCATAGCTACCACACAACAAATAGCATTAGGTACATGAAGATCACAATGCCATCTTCTGTAAGACCTCAAGGCTAGGTCTTCTAAGGCTGGCCTCTGTTTTGTCTCCTGCAAGGAAGCGCTTTGTGTTAGTTTTAATTCAAAGTCTTACTTTGGCACATGTGCAGTGAGGAGCCGTGAATCTTAACTTCCACCTCAAAAGGCACAGCTGAGCTTCAGAGGTGCAGCAGCTCTTCAGCAGTGCAGAAGGTTTTCACAGTAACTAAGTTGATATAACAATAACAATTTGCGATGTTAAGGTTCTGGCTAAAGATTTGCGATACTGGACCCGAGTGACAGCAGGATATGACCTCCTCCACCCTCTTTCTTTCAGGATAAAGCCAAAACTTCACCATCCTCTTCATCGGTGCGGCAAGGTTTGCAGGTGAGGTGTCACTGTGACACAGGCTCTTTAGGAAAACGGAGAAACAGATGCCGCCATACGGGGACAGTTGAACTTTTTACTTTCCACGCTGAAAACCCAAAGAGAAACAAAAACACAGGGGTTCTATCCAAGCTCTAAGCAGAGCTCTTCTCCTGCCATTACCGGGCTCTGCTGACACTCTGCTCCCCGCGCGAGACAGCAGATTGTGAAGACTCCCTAGGGTGACCACCCTTCTTGTTTAACACTGTCACCCAACCAGTCACGGAGGCTTTACTGGTCAGGTGACAGCGGGCACCTGAGCTGGGACGGTGTAGTGGGCACGGGACCTGCCACCTTTCTGCCTCCAGCTGCTATGCCAGCATATACAGTACTTTTGTCCTCCTTCCTTTTCAGTTCATCTTCACAAGAACTGTGCTTGTTGGCAACTCAGAAGAGCGAAAAACTATTCTCTCTTCTTGGAGTGCACTGAACTAGAGGCGTTAAAAGCCCCTGCTTCTGCTTGTTTAAACGTAAACAGAACACATCTGGTTTCTCTTAGTTTCATTAAGCTTTGCGCCTTTCTCCTATCCACTGCTGGATGTAGTCTCACATGAGTGCTTCATTCAGAGCCGTTCTGATTGGAATTTAATGAGACACCCTGTCTCTTTACTGGTGTAACATGACTTAGAAATTGTTTGCTCCTTGTAACTTCCGAAGCTCACTTTGGGCTGCCGATCTTTGAAATACTTTGAATTGCGTATTTTTATCAATGGTTGGTTAGCTCAGCGTAATTTATTTTGAAAACCTGTAAATTAATTAATCTTTATAAGGATGCATTTGCACAAAGATGCCAGATCATACCCATGTGTATGGATTCACATAAGGCGAAACACAGCAGGGTGTGTTTTTTCAGAGACAAGGGCCCAGATGTGAGTGCTTCGGAGAATGACGTATACATCTGTGGGCAAACTGCCTTACCTGTAGTATCAGTCCTGATAGTTAAAATGAATTTAAATTATATTGCACTTATTAAAAAGAATAATACAAAAATGTATTGTCAATATAATGGCACATAAATTACAAAGAAACATGGAGATAAATGAATAACAAAAAAGTTATAAAAATACATCATACTTGCCTATAATATGTTCGTGTAGCCAAATTATCTAGAAGGCATTTTTTTGTCAAATAGAAGCTCTGTGATATGAAACGCAGTTACACAGAACACGCACTTTAAGATTCCACACTGTTCAGTCTTTACTAACCTGCTGCTGTTTTGATTCCTTCCATGAACATCTGTTTGGCTATCCTCTTCCAGCTTATTCTTCTAAAGTTAACAATCCCAGGAGGTTTTCTCCTTTTGTGCTCTGTCTTTTGAGATACAGCCCAGTGTTGTCGTGGGGGTAATGGTGTGAGACTGGGCCTTGTGTCTCGCCAGATTCATTTGATTTCGACAGGACCCTGGGGGCTCTTCTGGCCAAGGAAGATGGTGGCAATTCGTCTTACGCTCCTAAAATCCACAGTGCACTGTTCATTTAAGCAGAGGAGTGGGTGGGGACTAAGGTTTTGGCCAGTGTTTTTCAATCTTTTTGAAAGACGTATTGTTATGTTTATAGCTATTAATAAATATTAATAACATTAGAACAATTACCCGCAAGAGGGGGCCATTGGGCCCATCTGGTAGTCAGTAGTTAATTGAGCCAAGGATCCAGCTGTTTCTTGATAGAAGCCAGAGGTATCGGCTTTAATAACACAGATTGGCAGCTTGTTCCCATCTTCCACAACCCTTTGTGGAAACACATGCTCCATTTTCTCCACTTGAAAGGAGCTTCTCTGTACTTTCCTCTTGTGCGCTCGGGATTGAAGTTCCCTGTTGATCCTGGCTTAGGGTACAGGTCAGGTGGTTGACTTTGAGGATTCAGAATACCTCAGCCCAAGACCCCATATAATCTTTTCTATTCAGGACTAAAAAGGTCCCTTAACCCTCTTAGTGCAGGACGTTGCCTAGAGCTCAGGAATCACCTGGTCACTCTTTTTTGGACCGATTCCTGCGTAGCAATACACGTTTATATTTTATTCTTAAATTCTAAATTCAAGCGCTCAATAGATGCTTGTACGGTGACGACACGGCCTTTGCCATTTTGACTTCCTGAACTAAAATAACCTGCAACCATTCCTGGAATTCTATGGGACACATTCTTTTCTAATGATGCTGGCCTATGACTTTTAATCCACAGTGACGAGTTACATAGCATGGTACAGCAGTTCAGGCTCTGGCTTTACAACTAGGAGGTTGTGAGTTCAAATCACTGGGTGTGGTACTTTTAGTGTACTCAAGACTACTCTAGTACAATGATCAGCCATTTTAAGTGGCTGCAAACATAAGCTACTTTGGGTAATAGCATCAGCTAATTAGTAGAAGAAAAGTATTTTGGGTGGATTCTCATTTCTCTATGAAGAACGTACAATATTTTGTTCACACTTGGCTTATGTAAAAAAAATTAGGAACTGTAGGATGCAAATTAAACCAGCCCTTTTAAAACTGGCAAAGCAAATACTGTATGTGTATGTGAAATCCTGGTCAGATTTGTTTCACGCGTTTATGGGGTTTTTGTTATGAGCTCAGGCGCCAAGAATTTGTGAGGCACGTTAGTTTGCACGAGAGAGAGAGAGAGATAATGCACATAAACGCGTTCACTATTATTTTGAAGTTTTCGCTTACATTTGATTTATGTCAAATGTTGATGATGCCCACCATAACAACAACAACAACAACAACAACAACAACAACAACAAAACACGTTCCCACTTGAACACAGAAAGGAAATTTTAAAACTTAAAAAAGAAAAACCGAGTATTGCAAAAGACGGCTGTCTGTTCTTCCTCCGCGTTTCGCGTCACCGGCAATTAAAAGTTGCTGTTTACTTCAGAGAGGCAGCAGCGGCAAAAAAAAACCCACCACAATCGTGGAAATGCCAGCAGAAAAACCCGTGCTACAGGTTGTCTTGTCAAAGTTTGCCGCCGAGGAGGGCTGCAGGGGTTAAGCCTGTGGAATGCTGCGCCGAGGAATGTGCATACAAATAGATTTATGCTAATGGTATGCTAATGAGGTGTTGGCTGGGAACACAGTCATGTCTATCCAGACTGTTTGGAGCTAAGATGGAGGACTGGAGAAGGCGAACTGTGGATATGTACTGAGCACTATAGCCCTTAGGATTTCGTCCGTGTTCCCCTCCCCTCCCCCGTACATATGGAGGAACGTTTGGAAGCTGAACATGCCTAGAAAAGGGAATGGACAGCTACCGTTACCGGATGGCTGGGAAGAGGCGAGGGATTACGATGGCAAAGTGTTTTACATCGACCATAACACCAAGCAGACCAGCTGGATCGACCCCAGGGACAGGTAGGTGCATGAGCTGGGTATCCCCAAACTTGAAAGCCGACGTGCACGGCTACAAGGAAGGCACACACACAAAAAAAACCAACAACAACAACAACAACAAAACAACCGGGGATTCCTGTGGTATAAGAAAATGAGAAGTGTTACGAGAGAGGCTCGGTCAGTGGGCGAAAAGTGATAAAAGCAAGTTGGCCGGCGTTAACCCCCCCCTCAAAAAAAAAAAACTTTGTGACTTTTGTCTTGCGGGGGAGAGGCATGCCCCCTCGCCATACGCTGTCAGCTAAAATGCGTTTAAACAGTTATCTGAACGTCCTAGAAAAGCGCACCGCCAACTTGTGACACTCAGCAGCAAATGACTAGAAAGAACCTTTTGGAAACGCTGTCCGAGGCGCACAATAGGAGGGCTTGTTGGAGCGAATTTGGATGATAAACCGTACCATCTGTATTTGCCTGCTCATAACGCGCTGCTGTCGCCTCTCAATGGCAGTTCGTGCGCGCAGTTACATCCACTCGTTACAGCGGGGTGCGGGTCTCCTGTGCAGCGTGTTACAGTGTTATCTTTCCAAGCCTTGAACTTCGCCGATAGTTTTTGGTTAGCCGGGAGGATCCCGGAGTCGCAGTGATTGAACACTGAAATCGTGGCGTTGATAGGACTGTTGGAAAAGACTCTCTGTGCCGGAACTGCAACGGATAGTTGTACTGAAGTTTTTCCCGAGTTTTTAAGTTGCTTTTTTTTGTTTGGGTGTGGGGTGGCTGCGACCGTTTTCTCATTTAAGGATTTCAAGCGGAGCTTTGTTGGAGAATATCGAATATGTCCCGAAGTCTCTTTTTTCCACCCCATCTTTGGGATGGCATATCTATTTCTTAGTTTTTCGCCCCTGTGGAGAATCCGTGCCCGAGTTAGAGAAGTTGGATCTTCTATCGCTTTACCTTGCGTTTCGGTGCTGGGCTGATCCATGATTTCAACGTTTAAAACTACTGCTACCTATGAGTCGTTCTATTCGTTTTCCTGCGATCTAGTGTATTTGTTGTCTGCGGCACACAATAAACCGCTGTGTTTTGAGTGTTGGGGCTCAGGCCTTGTCTAGGCCTCATCTTATCAGAATTTAAATGAAATCGTGACTGGGTGAGCTACAGAAGGAAGACCCTGCTCCCGAATAGCATGACCTGCAGCGTTGAAGAAGGAGAAAATGAACTGCGCACTTTACGGGGCGTCAGTAAACTAAACAGATGATGAGCAAATACCTAGTAACGGTTTAACTGCCAGGAGCAAGTAAAACATGTAAAAGTCGTGTAGAAGTTGAAGTGATCATATTTCCTTAGATTCCTAAACCACAACTCCTAAACAACTCTGAAATGCTCGACTCTGAAACTTGTGATCTTAAAATTGAAAGTGCACCAAAGTAAACAGCCCTTGTACTGTGTATTTGTTAATGGATGTTAGTGGCCCTTTGTGGAAAATGTAATCCACTCTAAAGTTTTGTGTTTTTGTTTTGTTAATATTAACTGAAGGCTTTTCATCACACAAACGTCATGGCTGTTACAACCTGGGCTTTTTTAACGTGTTTTCCAAAACGATGTTTTGTTTTGAATTGCCAGATATTTTCAAAACACGAGGAGTCCGTTGTTTCTAAAATCAGTTTGTAGATGATCTGTAACAACTTGAAAGCTGAGATGATGTAGCTTTTTTGAGAAGCACGCCAAGTGTTTTTCAGGAAAATAGGTGTTGTCTGAAAGTTATGTCTCCGTGTAATGTATTAAGGTCCGTTTTAGCGGTTGTAGGACACGACTAGACTGATAATGTGACAACACCAGCAGTGGAGTCGCACAGGTGTTTTCAGCTCCAGCAGCTGAGAGCCACAGGCTCCGTTCCTTCCATTTGAGCTCCTAATTAGCTAATTTTGCTAACTGCTTTCTTAATTGATCCAGTTTAGCACTACTTTATGCTAAATATACATAAAGTCTTGTTGTACAACAAGACCATCAAACATCTTTAAGAACGGGTTCTCTAATTCCGCTTCTGAGATTCTTCAGTCGGGAAAAAAACGAGAGTTCTGTTATTTAATTAAACTGTTTATCTGCTTCATTAGTCAAGATCAACACCGTCTTTTGTCAGTTCATTATTGAAAGATGCCATCACATCTGATGGATAAGGTAATAAAAGTGTTCTGAGGCACACTCGTCCCCTGATTACCAAACATTTAAACAAACATTTACTTTCACCGTGGAGTCTTGTGGTGTTGCACAAGAGGGCTGTCAGTCTTCATTTACACAGGTGTGTTGCTGAAAAGGCAGATACAGCACAGAATGTGGAGTAAGTTTGATCATTAGTGTATTAGATACGTTTTACACTAACGTGTCCGTCCCCAGCACTGTAGAATTGCCTTTTCTAGTTGCTGTTATCTCATCAGTACAGTCCTCTTCAGATCAGAAATCATCCTTTTAGAGTCCCATTACTTTCATTGGTCTCGCGGGCAGTAGTGCCTACATGACTCCAGAAGAGCTGGACAGTTAGGAATTGTCTGACCAAGGCAGTCTGTCCCAGGAAGCATGTATTGGGGGTAAAAAATTTAGGCAGCATTAGAAGTCTTTATCTGAAAATGTTTGTAAGAGTTTGCTGTGGCTCTGTGGGTGAATTTCAAATTGAGCAAGTGATGCCCCATGTTTTTACAGGATTAAAAAATATGCCAAGGTGCGTTTCATAAAATGTGATACAGCCGCTTATGTCTACCTGCGCGTAAGTCAGGACGCACTGATTTATCGAGGAGAGCTGTGTGACTCCCCAGTCAACTACAAATTCCAGAGTCACCTTTATGCTTGCCGGGGTACTCTTGCCTCTTACCAAACAGGAAGTCGCTATCAACTACTAACTTTGGCTTTTGCACTCGCCTGGACCGTTTAAAGTCTTGATTTAATCTTGAACCTATAAAACCTTCTGTATTGTGGCCTTTGAGAGCTGGAGTTGAGGCGCTCGGTGTTGTGATTTATCGTCATTTGCCTAGCAGATTTGCTTCTCCAGGGCGGCTTGCAAAATAGACAATAATATACCAAGAAATATAAGAACTCACTCTAATTGTTGAAAAAAGTATAAAAGACAAACGCGGGAATGAGCACATGTTAAAAGCACCATGCCTTTTGAGCATTTGAGCAGGGAGTTGTATCAATTAGTGGTAACTGTTCTCGACAGTGTGAGACAGATTACAGGAGCCATCTAAACAGATGAGTTTTTAGGAGACAGTGAAAAGTGGTCTGGGACTGAGCACTGATTTATGAGGGGAGGAAAGGAAATGCTGCCCTGGAGCCCAGGGTATCTTTACTCACAGCACTTGTAGGAATTTTCTCTCATGAATTATCTTGTATTATCGTCAGAAGAGCCAGCGATCCTTCCAAATACACAGATGCAAGCAATCCAGACCATAATGATAATCCTAGCTGTGGTAAAGATACCATTTCATGAGGTTTTCCTTGCATTTATTACGTAGTCCAGTGAGCTCGTTATGGAGTGTGTGCTCGTTTAGGAGCTCTTTTAAAATGTCAATTCTGAAACCCAAGAAAAAGCTGTCTGGTGTTTGTGTACAAAGACACATCTTGTTACGGGTTGGTAAGAAAATTTCCATTAAAATGTTGCTGTTTTTACAAATTTGAAACCCTGCTGCATCTCATTTTCTATTCGTTTTTTCCCCCTCATAGCATTAGTTAATTTTTCTCCTTATTCCATTTCAGAATTCATCGATGTTATTGTACAGGTCTAAAATAGTGTCCTACATCCAGCCGTTTCCTATTTGGTGTTCCAGTTCACGACCGCAGGGGAGCAGAAGCCTTTCTTGGCATCAGGGGGCACAAGGTACACTCTGGACTGGCCAACAGTCACAGGGCACACACACTTACACCAGTGAGAGTTTTCCAGGAGGCAAGTTAATCAACCCTCGTGTCTTTGGACTGCAGAAGGAAGCCGGAGTACCCCGGAGCAAGCCCACGCAAAAATGGGGAGAACATGCAGACTCCACACAGATGGTGTCCCACTGGAGTTGAACCCAGGGCCCCAGCGCTGCATGGCGGGAATGCTGACCACTCTGCCACCATGACACCCCGGTGTGCAGTCATTTGCTTTTATAGTCGTCAGCCCAGCCATAGTCAAAACGGAAGGCCGTGCCCAAAAAGTGGGTCAAATCGCCATACAGCTCACCATTCAGCTTCCTCACACGTTGCCTGTTTCCAGGCCTTCTTCACCACCTCTCCTTTGAGGTGTTAGACGCTCATGAGCTGGGGAGTTTGAGTCACTTGATGGTGTCTGGCCCGCAGGTCTCACTCTTCTTTATAGGTAGGAATGCAGACTTAAAAACTGCCTCTGGCCTCGATGCAGAACTGTGAACTAAACCCATGAATCAGGCAAGTGTCTGGTAGCTTGTCTGTGTTGTGTCATGCCTGTCGTGGATACACAGTGCATGCTAATATTTGCATTGCTGTTGTAGAAGTCATGTGGTGTAAGTGGGTAATTCCCACTTCGGAGTTTGGGATTATTTTAATCGGAGAAGCCTGTTATACCAGAGGTTTCCAACCTAATCTTGGAGAATTCTGGCACTGTAGTTCTTAGTATGTAACCTCTCAGTCGTCAGTTTGAAACAACTTCACATAATTTAACTGTAAGCAAGCTCTCGGGCGGTTTGTTGAATGAAGCAATTTAGAGATCATTTGCAGCAAGTATTTGATCCCTCCTGGGATCCTCCTTAATGAAATTACTTTGGTATAGGTGATCAATAACGTCTGAATGTCCCCAACCATTAGACGTACTGTGACCTACTGTATAAGATTTAGTCTGGGGCTTTCCAGGACCAGGAGACCCATGGGTTAAACTGTACATCTCATAAACAGTAGGATGTAAAAAACTTTGCAAGGTGTGAAAAAATCCAGTTTTTGAAAAATAAACCATTAACAGATTAATAAACACGTGTCTTAAGTATGATAATGCAGTAACGGAAGGGCAAATAAATTCTGTCCTTTTT